TTTAAACCTTTTTTTCACTGAACGTTTACAGAGTAGACCATCAGTTTTCCACTCAGCAATTCATCTTTTGTTTAACACCGTGGATTGCAATCTCCTCAATATAACATCATCTATCCCACTCCCCACCTTTGTTTCCTGTCCTCCTTCTTCCCTAACCTTTCTAAACTTCATCCTTGGGCAAATGCTGTCTTTTTTTAAATCGCAAATGGCTGACAACTATAATAGGTGTGTACCTCCTATTGTATTGTTTCCCTTATAGACCTGCCCCTTGTTGGTTTGAAAAATTACCCATAGGGGTGAGTTCTGTTCGAGGCCAGAAAGGTGACTTAAGGCCATAGTTTGGGGCTCTGACTGGTTTCTATCTGAATAGTAATCCTGATCTCTTGTGATTCTGAGTTTTGTTCCACATATTTCTCCCACTCTATCCAAGACCTTCTAATGTGGTCCCTTTCAGAGCAGTTGGCCGTGGTTGCCAGGCACCATCTAGTTCTTCTGGTTTCAGGATCAAGGAGACTGAGATTCATGTGGCCCGTTAGTCCTTTGGAATAATTGTTCCATGTGTCTTTTTTTTAACAATTTTATTGGCACTTCATCCACATATCACACAATTCAATAGTTCAATCATATCGAGAAGAGTTGTAATAATCAATTTGAGAACATTTTCTTCTTCTTCATACTCCTTGTTATCCGTGTAATTATTTTTTAATTGTGGCAAAAACATACACAACACACATTCTCCAATTCAACAATTTGTACATGTGTAACTCAATGATTGATTATACTCTTCGTGTTGCACAACCTTTCTTGGAATTATTTTCCAAATTATTTTGCTTCACCATCCTTTCCTCTGGAGAAGGGAGAGAATAATCGTTGTCCCTTAGTGGCTGCTCACGAACTTTAAGGACCTCCCCGGTCACTACTCACCAATATTGTCTTGGTAGACCATGTTCTATCAATTGGTGTTAGTGTCCATGAAACAGTGGTCCTGAGCCCCCAGGCCCAGCAATGTATTTCCTCCAGGAGTATGGTTATGCTTAGGAAGGTCTCATAACTGGCCCCTGCACACTCCATCACATGAATGTACATGCAGCCAAGATAAAACTACTCCCATTGAGTCTATTCCAATCTGCGGTAGCCCTGTATAGGATTTCCAAGACTATAAATCTTCATGAGAGCAAATAACCTCATATTTCTCCCAAGGAGAAGTTGGTGGGTTCAAACCACTAACCTTATGGTTAACAGCATAACCATGCCACCAAGGCTCCTCTTAAACCAGACCAAACTCACTGCCATGGAGTCAATGCTGACTCATAGTGACCCCTGTGAGTTCCTGAGACTATAACTGCTTATTGGAGTAGAAAGTCCAGTCTTTCTCCCTCATAGCTGCTGGTAGCTTTGAACTGCCCACCAAGCAGATAGCAGCCTAATACATAACCACTATACTACCAGGTCACCTAAGGCTTCTATTAGCAAAGATAAATACCCATGTACAAAGGTCCTCTGTCAAGTATACACACACATCTATGACATATTTCAACTCTTCCTTCTTCACTCACTCAGCCTCTGTGTGTAGCCATGCATCTGTTTGTAGATCACTATTGCTTCAGGGTAGTGTATATAACAGTTGCCTTTACTTCTTAACCAGCTTTTTACAGCTGTAGAAAACAGTTTGGAGAGGTGAAGTAACTTGCTCACGGCCTTCAAGCTAATCAATGGTGATCCAATATTTAAACCTAGATCTATGCTTATACGGCAGAGTTGGAAGGAGTTATTTTAATGAACCAAGAGACAATATACAGGATTCGGATGTATCTTGAGCCCATCTCTTTTGACATACATACATCAAAACCAAACCTACTACCATCAAGTCAATTCTACCTCAACACGACATCAGGTTTCCAGGGCTCTGTAAATCTTCATGGAGGCAGACAGCCTCATCTTTCTCCCACCGAGTGGCTGCTGGGTTCAAATCTCAGACCAATGCTTACCCCACAGTGCCCCCAGGGTTTAGCGCAATAGAAGAGATGAAACGAGAGCAGAGGAGGAATCTCCTGCCACCCAGCAAGAAGAGCTGGGGGTGGTGCCTTGGCCCCAGGTCCCTGTGCTAAAACAGCCCTCGAGGGGAAAGCCTTCCCTGAGAACCGGGCACCTAAAGCTTGTTCTCCACCTTCCTCACGCCGCCACCCTTTCATACGGTCCCTCGTGTTGTGGCGACCCCAACCAGAAAACTATCTTCTTTGCTACTTCATCACTGTCATTTCACTATACTGTGATGAATCGTCATGTAAATATCTGATATGCAGGGTGTATTTTCATTGTGACAAATTGAACATCATTAAAGCATAGTGATTAATCACAAAAAACAGTATGTCGTTGTATATTGTGAAATATTTATTTCTAATGAAAAATCAATGAAATGTTGTCTTGAAGCATGGTGTAGCGTGGGTCACAGTCTTCATGCTGGGTACTCATATGTGGGCGTATCTGCACGTGGGCAGACCCACCTGGAGATGGATAGAGGAGCAGTATCTCGGTTCCTAAAACCATTGGAAATATGTGTTTTCCGAGGATCTTAGACGACCCCTGTGAAAGGGGTCTTGACCCACAGATTGAGAACTGCTGCTCTAAGGACTTCTAAAGAACAAACAAATCTGTCTTGGAAGAAGCATGGCTCCTTCGAGACAAGGATGGCAAGCCTTTGTCTCTCTAATTTTGGACATGTTGTCAGGAGAGACCAGTCCCTGGAGAAGGACATCACGCTTGGTAAAGTAGGCCAGTGATAAAGAGGAAGGCCCTCAACAAGATGGGTTGACACAGTGGCTACAACAATGGGTTCATGCATAGGAACAATTGTGAGGAAGACGCAGGACCGGGCGGTGTTTCGTTCAGTTATGCACAGGGTTGCTATGGGTCAGAACTGACCAGCACCTAACAACAACAGCCTTCGGAATGGTGAAAGAACAAATCCTATTTTCCAAGGCCCTCTACATGCATTACTTCTGTTGTAGTGGCACTAGCTAACTAGGGCACCAGGCCAGCACGAAGCCACCCCCTCCTAATGTCTTTGTCGAGGAGCTCCTGGGAAGGCCACCTTGAAGGCCACATCAGTGCCAGTTGCTGTCGCGTGGACCCTGACTAACCATGGCCCTGCATGTGTCCGAATCGGACTGCACACCATGGCATTTTCAGTGGTGGATCTCCAGTGTCTTCAGAATAAAAAGAATCCATGTTTGAGTTTCGGTTGCACCTGGAAAGCTGTTGGACCTTGGACAAGTGACTTAGACTCTGGGAGAGCCGATCTCCTTCCCTAAAACGCACATATCTGTCACTGGGATTAAGTGGCCTGGTGCGAATGCACAGCACTTCGAGCTGAGCCTGGCACAGAGTAAGCACATCACAGAGGACACACCAAGTGTGACTCTCAGAACCCTCTGAGGTTCCGCATCGACCCACAGGGTGCCACGGAAACCAGGAGCATGTTTTGTGGCCCGGAAACGCCAGCTGCTGGAACCTGCAAGCATCCTCCCCAGCGAGGTGGGAGATGGCTATCCAGGGACCCACCACACAGTTACCTCATTTGCCCAGCGTTCCACCTCAGCTGGCTGTTCAAGATGCCAAAAAACAGCAGCTGCTCCAAGACAGACTCCCTGGAACTTCCTCTGAAGTCACCACGGCAGGTGGCATTTGTCTCGTCTTCCACGAACTGTTGTTCTCCTCAAGGATCATTGCTTGTCTAAACCACCTATTAATTTCCGAGGCCTCTGGCATGGTCTCCCTCCAGTGGTTGCAGGCTCCCATGGAAGAAGGTCACTCGAGGCCTAGTCGATACTGTGTTTGCTTAGCAGCTCAATAGTCACCGTGGAAATATGTTGGGCCAGGGGATATTCTCCACGGGCGGGCCGAGAGGTCAGTGCACCAAGGCCCAACCCAACCCACTGTCAAGGTGACTCAGATGCATAGCAACCGTCGGGGGCTGAGCGAACTGCCCCTTAGAGGGCGCATGGTTCTCATCTGCATGGAATCAGATGGCCACAGCTCTCTCTCTGCAGAATGATGATCCCCAGTGCCCCCAGGACCTCTGGTCAGTGCCCAGGGAGGCTCTTGACGTCATGGGGAGCCCAGGGTTCCCTCCCCCACGTTCCTCACATTTTAAGGAGGATGGCCCCACCATGGGGGGGGGGGGTTCCTTTTACCTTCTGTCTCCCAGCAACTGTTAGCCCCTTTATTCTCAGAAGCACTCGAGGATCATCATTGACTTATCTCCAAAAGAGGGAAGCAATTATTTTTATGGTAGCTAGTGTCATAAAATATTCCATTACACCAAAGAAAGCTCCATTTTTTACTTCAGAAGCAATCAGCTAGCGTGTAAGGAAACAGCAGGGGCGAGTGGGGATTCGTTGCGGTATCTCACAGCCATAGATATTGATTTTTTCCCCAGTTTGTACAATAGAAAAGATTTCCCAGCTGAGCTGAGATCAAAAGTGGCACATTTAACTGGATCTTAAAGATCCAGAAGGCCATCTTGTTTAAATACCTTTAAGAGCCTACAGCGTGTTCTTTAAACCTGTGTCTACAAGAGGCAGAAAGATGATGGAGGAAGGGCGGTGGAGGGGGACTGGGACTCCAGCAGCAAAGCCAGGAGCTTGCGGCCTATTTCAGGGACTCGGTAGTGGACTGCCCCCAATGAGCTGGTCCTGAACCTCTCACCGATCTCTTCACCTAGCTCACAAATCCACAAAGAAGGGGAGCCCCACCTAAAGGTGGCAAGGGTGAACATGCGGCACTGGGTGTCTTGAGGAAAACATTGCAACGTAAACCCGTTGAGAACATTTCTATTTGGAGACGTCGGATAAATAAGGGAAAAACTGAGTGTCGTCAAGGCAGTAATGAGAACAGTTTGGATAAAATTATTGACCTCTCCAGCTGGACGATCAGAAGCGCTCCCCAGAGCCCCTTGACTGAGACATGACACTGACATTGCAGAGACAGAAATGAAATGGATACTTACCTGGCAGGGGGGATACCATAATCATGAAGGTGGTTTTCCCAGGGCGAGGCTTATCCATTGCACTCCCGGTGTGCTGACCCCTGTGATTTCCCCAGGAAACTTGACTGCATAACTTGGGGGGGGGGGGCCTGCGTTCCCGCTCTTCCCTGGGGAAAAAAAAAGAAATGAAATGAAATGGAGACTAAGGATGACAGATCCAAGTCTTTGCTTCGTCTGTGCTACAGACAAGACACTGCCCTAGGCACTTGGGGCAGAATAAAGCAAAGGTGAGTGAAGTATTAATATTCACCCAGAAGGAACTCAAGTTAAGAGAAAGGAGTAATTGAGAATGGGGAGATTGAACGAACCCAGATCCCAGATTTGGGGCAAACTTGTTAACAGAGGTATAAAAAGACTTGCAACAAAAACCAAAAATCTAAACCCACTGCCTGACTCAGAGGGACCCTATCAGACAGAATGGATGTGCCTTTAGGGTTCTCCAGGTTACAATCTTAATGGCCCGGACTTGTCCCAGTTTGACCACCACCAATTATGGTGAGCATATTGATTGCAAAGAATGGGGAATCCAAAACACTTAATTATGTCTGTTTTCACATAATTGAGTCACTGCTCTGTCTGTTTGTCATACTGTGGTGGCTTCTATGGCTATGATGCTGATGCTATAGCCCTGATATTTTAAATGCCAGCAAGGTCATCCAGGGTGAACTGGCATTAGCAGGGCTTCCAGACTAAGGCGAACGAGGAAGTAGAACCTGGCGATCCACATCTTAAAGCATTAGCCACTGAACATCTTATGTACAGCAGCACCACAGTCAGATTGGTGCCCGAATATGAAACCCTCAGGTCGGAGGCCCAGGTGAAGGGAGACGTAGGACAGGGCAAGATATGACAAACTAATAATTTATAAACTATCAAGGGCTCATGAGGGAGGAGGGAGCAGGGAGGGAGGGGAAAAATGAGGACCTAATGCCAGGGGCTTACGTGGAGAGGAAATGTTTTGAGAATGATGAGAGCAATGAATGTACAAATGTGCTTTACACAATGGATGTCTGTATGGATTGTGATAAGAGTTATATGAGCCCCTAATAAAATGATTAAAATAAAAAGATCCAACTGAGAAGGAGTTGCCACCTCAAAATGGAATCAACCTTGATGATGTGGCTGGAGACAAGTGTTCAGGAACTTTGTTGTTAGTGTGACATGGCTCGAAACAAGAAGAAACCACTTCAAATGTTCATTAAAAATTAGATTGTAGGAGATACAAAATATGCATCTAAGAAAACTGGAAGTTTCAAAAATGAAATGTTTGTGACCTAAAATTGGTATGGACCATTTTAATCAGACAATCATATGGTTGACTGTGTCAATGATGACAAATTAAAGAGAAACAGTGTCAAAAACAAATATTTCAAGATCTAGTTTCAAGTTCAATGTTGTAAGTGATAGGATAGCATCCGTATCTATAAATATGACCCATTAATGTGATTACTATCCAAATTTGTGTACCAACCACTACTATCAAGTATGAGAAAATTAAAAAATTTGACCAATATCTGCAGTCTGATATTGATCAAATATGCAATAAAAAGCATTGATAATTACTGGTGAATGAAAGGCAAAAGATTTTTTTTTAAAAAGATGAGTAGTTGGAAAATATGCCCTTGATTATAGAAAGGAAGCTGGAGATCACATGACAGAACTTGCAAGACTCGTGGCCTACGCATTGGAAATATCTTCTTTGAATAAAATAGTGACTATGAAAATGGACCTCACCAGATAGAAAATACAATAATCAAACCACCTACATTTGTGGGAAAAGATAATGAAGAAGCTGAATATCATGAGAATATCAATTGCTCACATATAAGTTCAGTAGAAGTTGAAGAAAATAAAGAAAGTCCACAGAGCAAAAGTTTGACCTTGAGTCGATCCCACCTGAATTTAGAGACCATCTATCACAATAATAGATTTGATGCCCTGAACACTAATGACTAAAGTCCATGCAAGTTGAGGGATGACATCAAGGACATGTAAGGTGAACAAAACAAAATGCCATTAAAAAGACAAGGAGAGAGAGAAAGAAACCAAAATGGATATTAGAAGAGACTCTGAAACTTGTTCCTAATGTAAGGTAGATAAAGTGGTGACGTGATGAAGTAAAAGAGCTAAACAGAAGATTGCAAAAGGAGGCTTAAGAAGACACAACAAAGTATCGTAATGAAATATGCAAAGACTTGGGGTTAGAAAATCAAATAGGAAGAACACTCTGAGCATTTCTTAAGGGGAAAGAACTGAAGAAAAAAGTCAGGCCTCAATTTGCAATATTAAAGGGTTCTATAAGAGAAAGAGTCGATAACATGGGAACCATCAAAGAACAAAGGCTGTTGTTGTTGTTGTTGTTGTTGTTGTTGTTGTTAGGTACCATTGAGTTGGCTCTAAAGCTGACACAACACAACAAAACTCTGCACGGTCCTCATAATTGTTCCTACACCTGAGCCCATTGATGCAGCCACTGTGTCATTTCATCTTAATGAGAGCCTTCCTCTTTTTCTCTGCTCCTCCACTTTACCACACATACGTCTCTCTTGACAATACAGTGAACCCTCGCCACTTCGCGCTTCGACTTCCTTGGCTTCACTCTATC